TAGCACAATTGTCATCACAATTATTTTACCCCTTTTATGCTTGATTTCGCTACACTATCACTTAACATTAATGATTTTGTTTATAATTCATAAAGCAATACAATTTTGACGTTAAAAATATTAAAAGGAAATTATTATAAGCAAATAATAGTTTTTCACAAATCATTTCTTGATGAAGGAACAATCTAAAACAAAAAGAAGATAAATACATTATGTCCTCTATCTCTTTTCTCAGGATCCATTATTCTCTCTCTCCCTTACCTTCACTTGTTGTCTCCTCTTCCTCCTGCTGTTGTTACTGTGTTATTATTAGAGACAAACTGTATTTACATGAAAATTCACTATGGAGGATCATGTACAGTTCTTAATGTAAAAAAATTACTTTATCATTTTACTCCATTTGTCAAGCAGCAAGATCAAAAAAAACCTGTCTCAGTTCTTGTTCCTTCCTTAGATCAAATTGTGCCAGTTCATCGGGTAAATCTCTAGATCTACAAATCATCTCGAGATATTCTTTGGCATCTGAGCAGTTGCTGCTAGCTTGAGCCCACTTCTCACTAATAGAATCATCAAGACCAATGTTCCTCCTTGAGGGTGACCAGCAATTACCACCATGAGCATTAGTAGTATCTGGTGTTGACTCATCTCTTGAATGACAGCTGCTAGTATTCCCTCCTCCTCCAGTACTGCTACCACTGATACTACTCACTCCACTGTCAAACACTTCATCTGCTACTCCACCAGTGACTGGGACATCATGACTACTGGGACTCTGTATAATAATATAAATATTAATAATTAACACTTAACACCATAACAGTATTTATGCATCATTCTATTATTAATATCTGACTAATTATTTATCAGTTATACACAAGGTACATGTACATATACATAGATGAGGTGAGCATGTGCTTACTGAAGTAACTGCTTCATATATCATTACTCCTTCATCCCAATACAAGAACCTCTCAACAGCTTCCTCTACTCTTGTCAATAAATCCTATTAATAATAAATTAATAATAAATGTTTGGTTCACCACTAAATGTAAGAGAGTAAGAGGGAGAGAGAGTGCTTGCCACTGCTGAGTGAATATACATGTGTAGCCAGCAATAGATTGAAGGTTCTGGACACAGAGAGCATCATCCCCGTTAAAGGTACTCTGCTGTGTCTCTATTATCTCAGATGTTCTAGCCAGATTACCTGATGATAGTTTAAGGTAAGTATCACAAGGCTCTCCCTCTGCAATGTGACGGAACCAGTGAGACATTGTATCTACTAACAAGGAACATATCATCATTGATAAGCATTCTATTGGTGAAATATCTCTAATTATATTTATTAAAATAGAAGCCAATAAGCTAATTAATACTAATCCAACATATCATGCTTGACAAAAATGTAATAATAAATTATATCTCTGTAACAGATCAGACTCACTTCAAAGAAATCTCTTGCCAAAAATCACACACCCAGGTATTACAAAAATCAGAGCTTAAATATACATGTACACAAAGAAAAAAGCATTAGTACCAACAAGTGACAAAAGGAAGGCTAGCCTCAGGTAACCGTAGGGCAGGGCTGCCATACAGTTATATACAACTCAAAAAACAGCCTAATAAAAGATTACACAAATTATAAAATTACTTTGAACATACAAATTCACACTTACTCAACTGTAAATATTTAACTGATCTACTAATTAACACTAACACAACTATACATAATATTGAATTAATGAAGTCTTTTAATTACCATCCAACATGTACATAGAACCAATTTCAATCAATCCTCCACTCATGGCTCAAAAATTATTTGTCGGCACTCAGAAACACTGCAAACTTTCTACATAGCATAAGGATATTAATACATAATGTATCAAAAAATGTAATAAAAATTTGGGATAATTTTGGAGCTATTTTTTGAAAAAATCCATGGGCTATAGCCTTTACTTTTTTTCAAAAATTGGCCAATTTCTCTAAATGGTCATAACTAAATTTTATGTCGCTCAAATCTGCATGACATCATACCTTCTCTCTGTGTATCATTGGCAGTCCTTTACTGTAAATGGTGTACCAATCCTAATAGATTATTCTCCAATGAATGAAGATAGTCTTTAGTAGCAACAAGAGCACTACTTGAGGTATCACATCCTTGAGTTGGACGATACTATAAGGACTCTTCTGACGGTAAATCAGACTGAAACTTAGCACAAAGTACTCTGAACTCCTAAAAATAAATAATAACATGAATGTCATAACTTGATCAATCTACACAGTGTCATGTGCAGGAAATAATTAGCATAAAATTGGCAGTGTTTGGCTGTGCCCCACCTCTTTTCCCTTTCCATCTATCAGTGGCCCCTCGTCTATGAGTCTCTTTAGTACTCGACTCAGAAGAATCAGAGTTTGAGTTTTTGGAAAAAAAGGAACTGGGCAATTTGGGGGGGATGTAGATCTGACATCTGAGTAGTCTGGCTACTTTCTGTGCTAAAGAGATTATTATTATTATTATTATTATTATTATTATTATTAATACTTTACAACACATAATACAGAGAGCAAAGATACAAGTGGTAGAACAGAGAGAGAGAGTTGTGTTGAAGGTCTAACACCAACTAGTGGAGTAGCCTTGATGAGTATAAAGAGGAGACATACATACATTATATAATCAAAATAAATTTAAAAGATACATACATTAGACACAAGCACATAAACTACACGGACAGAGAAAATGAAAAGAGCAAGTATTGTTTGAATCAAAGTGTGAGTGGAAGTGATGCCAAAAATGCCTTAAAATCTGATGCTTGATGTGGGAGGGAGACTTAGAGATATCAATGTGTGGTAGTTTATTCCAGAGCCGAACAATCCGATGGAAGTAGAAATGGTGTGATTTGGAAGTACGATTGTACTTGTGTTTTAGTTTGTGATGTGTATTGGACCGAGTAGAAGAGGAGCAGAAGGAGACAAATTGAAGAATTGACATATTATCAGATGGGTTTTTAAGGGCATTGACCAGATACATTAGATCGTCTCATTACAAATCACATGTGAGCACATGGGTGGGCGTGGCTACTAAAACCACGCCCTTAAATCAAGATGGCTGACTTGATGAAGGTAAGGTCGTAAGGATCGATAAGGATAGATGATTTATTTGTAGTTTTGTTAATGTTACTGTTTTAGCTGATCAAAAATTTTTAATAATTATGTAGATACTTTATTTTTATGGAATTCTAATAATCATGAAGTCTCTAAACTTCAAACTGGTCTGAAGTACTGAAGTCTTAATTGATAATGTCCCGGCATTTTGGTCAGTCATTTTGAATACATTAATTGGTCATTTGATTACATTAAATCTATGCGTGTATACACTACTACACTTATGTGTGCCACTTTGATGCAGAAAAAATAATTTTATTTTTTTAATACTCAATAGTAACTGAGCGCACTCAGCAGCTAGTACCTGCATGCTCCACATTGTAGTTGAATATTTTTTAAAATCGAAAATAAATTTAATCCATTACCGTATAGCGGGTTTTTTCGAGAATAATAAATTTTGCGAATGACCCATATTCGGAAGTTTGCGGAATTAATTTTCACGAATTTTCACTAATCTGCCATCTTGTACCGTATTAAATTGATTTTCAAGGAATTTAATTTCGCGAATCATAAAAAAATCTGCGAACTTCGCTAAATTTGTTATCCTCGAAAAAACCCACTATACAGTAATTGAAGGAATTTAATTTTAGGGAAGGTCTATCTCTGACTCTTTGGGCTAATGACACAGCAGCTTACTAGCCATTGGAACTATCAAAGGAAACCTAGTATTGACATAATCACAGAATAAGAAGGTGGTAGTATTCATCCTTCTTCTTTTTAATTATTTACAAGTTGTTTTTGACAGAAAAGAACCAATTCTTGGTAAGCACAGTAAAAGGATAACTTCAAGAGCATGGAGTGATCAGGTTAGTTTACTGAGTCACCAGTTGGCACATTATTAAGCTATTAATAATAAATAGAATGTATTAGCATTGACTGGGGAAGACAGAAAGGTAACCTTTTCAGACCAGGATGGTAACAGTATTGGACAGAGGGAAATTAAATTTGAAGTTCATTCATTAAAGTTTTCACCAGATGGAGCAATGGTTGATTATACATGTACTGCTAATACTGTTTCATTGATTATTATACTGTAGCTAAGTGCTGTTGGAGATGTCCAGATTTTATATTTTTTTGAACTTAATGAAGCAGTCATCCCTTTAGAATTAATTTTTGAGGTACACAA